AGTGATGGAGTCCAGGGCCGTTCGTAAGGCTCTGTGCTGTGTGCTGTGGCCCGTGCTGGGTCCTCAGCACTCTGGTACTGGTGACTGTCCTACATTTGAGCTGAATCTTGCTATGTGTGTCGAGGCAGAGAAACACAGAGAACAGTTCCAGGCAGCGTGGGTTCTGCGCCCTCGGAGCATGGATTTGGTGAATTCCCCTGGGGTTCACAGAGAGAGTGAAGTCTCTGCCAGATCTGGCCCCTGACACCGTTTATGCCAATCTTCTTGCCTTCTCTTTAACCTGCCAATTCCTTCCTGCCTCAGGTCTTCCCATATGTTCTTCCTTCTGCTCCCCCACCCTACCCTACTCATTCTTCAGGCCTCAGCGTCAATGTTAACATCCTCAGGAAAGTCTTCCCAGTCCTACACAAAGGAGCATTTATCATCACTCGTTCAATAAGCAATGTCTGGCTTGTCAGCTCCATGAGGGTAGGCCGTGTCTGTCTTGCTCACCCCCATCTCCCTAGCACCTGGCACTACTAGTTGCTCAGTAAATATTTATCTTGAGAACGATTGCATGGGATCCCGGCAGGAAAGACACCCTCTGTAGCAGTGGGAAGGCAGGAGGACACAGCGGGAAGGTAAAAGTGAGATTCCCCAGAGCCATCCTCAAGCCACCAGCCCCTGACTCTGCTTAACCCTTCCTGCTCCCCTGGGTGCCTTTGGAAGCCGACCATCTGGCTTGGAGGCCATTTGCATATTGTCTGGGCCTCAGCAAGCCTAGCAAGATGTCCCTGGGGGGGAGGGGGTGTTTGAGGCCAGGCCTAGTGGCCCTTGCAGCCTGCTCTGAGTCCCATCTCTCCCCACCCCCAAATCCAGGCATGGGGGAACAATAAGAATGGTGATGCGGTGGCCTCACCATGGTAACAGGTTATCAAGAATGTGGGCAGGCCGGAGGGGTGCAGTGGAGGGAGGGAATGACCTCAGCAAAGAGGAGCATCATGATAAATGAGCCAGCACCGCAGCAGACTCACCCCGAGCCCACCCCTCTGCGACTCCAGGATGGTGCCATCACTCTGATGACCCCGGCCTGACTACTAGCCACCCCCCCCCCCAGCATCTCCAGAGTGAAATGGCGGCCCCATCCTTTTACACAACTGGGGCTGGTTCTGTACCGGACGGCCAGGTTGTGGAGGTGCAGCTGGTGGCCTGAGGGCCAGGCCCTGCCCAGTCCCTCTCTGCCTCCGCACACACAGGCAGAACCCTGCCGCCGGGGTGGCTGATGGATGTGTCAGACTCCGGCGGCTCTATCGAGCGGCCACAAGATGTATGGGCTGGCGGCCCCCAGACAGTGCCAAGATGGAGGCCAAGGGGAAACCTCAGGCTCAGGCCTCAGGGGAGACAGCCAGACAGCCAAACGGACTGCAGCCAGTTAGAGGCAATGCTCCCCATCCCTGCCCAGTGCGAGGACCCTGCGGACTCCAGTCTGCTTTGTTTGACAGGAATTTTTAAGGTGGCAATCCCAGCCCATGGACACTTTGCCCATGGTCCCGTGCTCTTCTGGCATATGATCCAGGGAAGTTGGCAGGGAGCAGAGTGAGCTGGTTGGACCAGTGTGCAGCCTGTGTATCTCCGGGGGGCTGGTATGCAGGCCATTGAGAGTCTTACAACCCAGCAGTGCTGCTCCTGTGTGTGTGTGTGTGTGTGTGTGTGACTGCTGCCAGGCCTGCCTCGCCCCACAGCCTTTCCCTCACCAGCGTGCCAGGACTGACTCCGGGCGCAGAAACCAAGGCATTGCCTGGGCCCTTCTCCAGCTTGGCCTGAGACATTGCCTCAGGGTGGGGTGACTGGCTAGCCCCAAGCCCTCCACTGGCTTCCCCAACACTAGGGGTCTCCTTGGCCTTCAGGCCTGGGGTTGTCTGGGCGAGAAGGAGCGCCCGCAGCCTCCGGAGACGGTTGAGAAGCAGTAGGTGGCACCCGAGGAGCTTGCAGAGCCAGGTCTCAGCGCGCCTGGGGAAGGAGAGGTGGCCCTGGGGACAGAGGCCCTGAGCCTCCGCATCCTGTGCACAGAGCTAGGTGGCCGTCCCGTCCCACACAGCAAGGCGGCAGGTGTCAGTGTCTGGAGGGGCAGGGAGGCCCACTTTTCAGGGTGCTGCCCGCAGCCCAGGGAGGGGAGGGCTCTGTGTGGGGCGTCAGGGGGCAGTGATTTGTCAGCTCTCTCTGGTGAAGGATCCTTCTCCCTCTGCTGGAGGAAATTAACTGATGGTATCAGCTCGGCAATTGTTTCTCTCCCCTCACAAAGGGAAATATATGCAGACCCCTCCAGGAGCAGAGCGGAATCCTCCCCCCACCCCCACCCGGGACTGGCTGGGCAGAGGACGGTGGGGGGGGGCTCTTAGGGCCTCTCAGAAGCGGGTCTGGGGCAGCTCCAGACCAGTTTTCAGGACTCGTGGGTGGGGCTCTGTCTCCCAACCCTTCAGATGTGACAGTTCCTCCTGCCGCCCTGGAGCCCCCACTGCCTCCTCAAGCCTTCAGTAAGCTAGTGACGCCCCGGAGACCTTCCTGCAGGTCACTGGCCTCTGCAGCCCACTCCTTCCCTCACTTGGGAATCCTCGAGTTCAGGGCCATGACAGCCTGCTCTACAGAGCCCGTGTTCCCTTCCTTCTGGTGCGGGCCAGGCCCTGGGCAGCAGGGGTAACTTGGCTTTGACAGTAGTTTGTTCTGTGCCTTCCTCCAGGGGACATCCGGAACCTCCTTGTCTGGATCAAGAAGAATTTGCTAAAAGAGCGGCCGGAGCTGTTCATCCAGGGAGACAGTGTGTGAGTCCCTCTCTTCCCTTCCCTGAGGGCGGGCGGAGGGAAGGAGATCTGAGCCCCTGGCTGGGGTTCCGCCCCGCCTACTCCGCTCCTGTGTCTCCTTTGCCATCCCCTGACCCTCAGGAGAGAGCTTTCACTCTCTTGTTACCACACAATGGTTGGGGACTTTTTAAACACCCAGGGCAGGATGCTGATAGATTTGTCCTGGTCACAGACCTCCTTCTGGTTGCCACACACTTGCCGTGGAACCTTAGGCAAGTTACTTCCCTTCTCTAGGCCTTGGCTACGTACCCTGTTCAGAAGTCCTGAGGAAAAGAAGCTGCCCGGGGTCCCTTCCATTCCTTGACAGTCTAGAACTTTCTGTGATGGTGGAAGTGGTCTGTATCTATGCTGTCCAATATGGTAGCTGCTGGGCAGTGAGCCTATTGAGCCCTGAAATGTGGCTAGTGTGCCTGAGGAGCTGAATACTCATTTATTTCCTGGTAATTTAAATTTAAACACGGCTAATAGATACCATATTGGACAGCAGAGGTCTAGGATTCTAGGGGGTCACTCAGTGCATGTGCACCCATAAACACACACACATTTGTGTCCACTGAAGACACCCCTGCCCTCAGCCCACAGCTCCTACCCCTGCACCAGGCCCAGCTCAGCCTCCCAGGCAAGAGCCAGGTTCCAAGTGCACAAAAGTAAAAAAAGTTCCGGCCTCAGGTGTAGAAGCGGGGGGGGGGCTTGTGGAACTCGTTCATCTTCCCCGAAGCAAGGTCACCCGCAGGTCCTGGCCATGCAGCCCCTGGCTCAGATCACGGTCCAGGAGTCATGGAGGCCACCCTCAAGGCCAGCAATGCTCCTTGGGCCACTGCCAGCAGGAGCCAGGCAGGGTACCTGTTCCAGCATCCACCTCCCCAGCCACCGGCAGGACTGCCCAGAGGCCTTCCCTGGCTGGGCAGACTGAGACAGGCCTTGGGAACATGCTGCTGCCAGGGGCACCGCCACAGGCTCCGGGAGAAGCTCCTCCCACATCATCCCAGTTCAGCCTCGCACAGGCCTCGTGGGGAGGCTCTGTCATTGGCCCACGTTCAGCAGAGGAAACGGACACTCAGAGGAACAAAATGACCTGCGTGAGCCCTGGGAGGTGGAGCTGGCATTTCCACGTGGCCCCAGGGCTGTGGCTGGCTGACCCTGTTTCCGTTAGATTCAGACTGTCACCTCCACTTCCGGAGGATCTTTAACAGGAGCATCAGGAGAAAGGCTCCACCGCACTCTCCTGCAGCCCAAATGTCTCAGCCTCTGTCCTTGCTACTGACCGTCCCCTGCCCTTCCTTCCCTGCCATTCACCGCCATCTTTCCCGCAGGAGGCCGGGAATTCTGGTGCTGATTAACGATGCGGACTGGGAATTGCTGGTCAGTACCGCGGACATCCCTCCCCCACCCCTCCCCTTCACCGCTTTAGTGGGCAAACCAGGGCCTTTCATGAGGCCCAGATGCAGTGATAGGAGAATTCTCTGTCCCACTGTAGCCTCCAGACTGAGGCTGCTCCAGTCTCCCACCCCAGAGAGGAAGAAAAGGGGGGCTGGGGGGCGTGGTGAACTGTCCTCCATCCTGGATATTTGCAAGGTGAAGTACAGGCTACCTGGTTTTCTGGTATATTCTTTCCCAAAGCAACACACACACACACCCTCCCCTGGCCTTCCCGACACCTGGGGAGAAACTGGGAAGGCGGCCCTGATGGTCTCCTCGTTTCTCTCCCGGACCAGGGTGAGCTGGACTACCAGCTGCAGGACCAGGACAGCGTCCTCTTCATATCCACTCTGCACGGTGGCTGAACCCCTCTCTGTGCCTGGGCCCCTTGGAGCGGAGAGAAGAGAACAATCAGACATGCCCTTGGACCCTGCTTCCACATCTCCCTATCCCCTTCCGTTGTTTTCTTCCCTGATCTGCCTGTCCCCTGGGTTCCTCCATGCAGGGAAAAGAGGCCAGGTGCTAAAATGAGCCTTTCGCAGGCAGGCACGTGAGCAGGGGCAGGCAGGCAGGTGCCTGAGCCCAGCACTCCCTCTCCCAGCAGCTGAGGTGGGGGAGGGTGCCCTCTGGCTTGTCATGAGGAGAGAGGGGCTCTGGGGCCAGGTGACCCAGCTGCCTTCCACTCCTGTGTCTCAGTCTAAGCCCTGAGAGCGCCAGGTCACGGTGTCTTCATGGGGAAGATGAATGGCCTTAATAGTTGATGGGAGGCCCCTCCCTCCTCAAACATTGGAGGAGTCCCCGCCTCAGTTTCCCCATCTGGACAGCAGAGGGCTCTGCCCGTCCCCCACTGATATCATTATGGAACCCCAGCTGGGGTCCCCTATTCAGAGCTATCCCCCTTCCCCCCCACTCAGCAGCTGCTCTTCCAACCACACCCCTCCTTCTGCTCCCCCCTCCACAGCCCTTGACCCTGGCTGGCCTTCCTCCCCCCACAGGCCACCAGATGGGCTCCTGAGACCCTCCCCCAGCCAAAGGCTGCCTGCAGCTTGTTCTGGGGAGGAGGGAGGAGGTTAACTTTGGACTAGCAAGCAGAAGCCTGAAAGGGTCAGCATGCCTCAGTTTCCTCCTCAACTGAGTAATTATAGTATCAGAAAGCAGGGCTGATACTGATGTCACAAAGGTAGACTTTATCTCCCTTCCCACCGCCTACAAGATGCAGGATGGGGGCAGGCAGCACCTGGTCGACAGGGTGGCTCACCCCTCCTCCCTCCATCCCTTCTGGAAATCTTGGGGCCTCAGTGCCTGCAACAGCTGGCCTTGGCCAAATAAAAGACTAAGTTGTTTACTAGCCTTGCCTGGAGCTCTATCCGTAGAAACCAATAGCACCCCACAACCCCTCGGCCATGGTCTCTGTTCCAGCCTCTCTGTCCCCAACCAGGGCTTTCAGAGCTCCCTTCACCCCAAAAGGGAGCAGGGGTTGAAACCCAGACTACCCAGCCTGTCTAGGGGTGACCTGACAGGCCGTCTGGAAAAGGGTCAGAGCCAGTCTGTCTGAGGTCGGGTTTTGTCCCACCAGCTGCAGCCTGCAGCCCCAGAACCCAGGATGGGGGGTGGCATAGATAAGATTGCTGAGCCCCTCCTTCCCAAGACCTGGAGAAAAGCTTTGGCTGCTGGAGGGAGATCTTAAATAAATAAATCTGAAGGCAGTAACATCATCCTGCCCCAAACACTAAATGCAGAAGTTTATGGTGAAACTTCTCTCACTGTGGGGATGAAATGCCCGTTGGTTGTCCCAGCAGGGTGCTGGAGTTGTGGGGGACGTGCTTGCATCACTCTCAAGGCATGAGGGACCCACGCCCCCGCCACTCTGCAGGCGGAGGGCCTCTGGGCCTGTGTGGTGGGGGCAGCCATATTGGGGTTATTGGTAGGAGCTGGTCTGGGTGCACATGAAGGCCAGTGTTGGGGTCCAGAGTGCTGTCTAGAGAGGCTGTTCGACAGCCCACACTGGTGCTGATGTCAGGGTCTCCGTGTAGGGAACAGAGCAGGGGACTGGAAATGGCCCCCCACAGCCTCAGCTTCAGGGATCAGCCTGCCCCCTGATCCCTGTAACCTGGAGGTCCTTCCCCGCCTCCAGCCCTGCCGGACTGGCCCGTTGTCCCAGTTGGGGATTCCAAGTTGGAATCTGGGTGAGGATTCCTTTCGCACCTTGACTGGCTGAGGGGGGGTAGATTTGGGCTATCCCTTCCTCCACCGCACCCCAGTGAGTGGTGAGGAGGAGGAAGGCAGAAGGACCCGCTGCACATCCTCGGAGGGAGACAGCTCCTCGGAGGGAGACAGGGAGGGATGCCAGCTCGGAGCCAGGGATCACAGAATTTTGGGTCATTTTCAGTCCTCCTTCAGCGGGGTCAGGTTGCCTGACCTCAGCCCCAGCCCAGCCCAGTTGCCTCTTTCCCCAGCATCTCCTGGCTCCCACCTGTGAGGAAATAAACGAATAAGCCCCACCATCTCCGAAGATTTGTCTTTAATGAAAAGGATTCGTTTACCCAAGTCCGGTTTCCAAAGCCCAGGCAACTGCCCGGCTGGAGCGCATCACTCCCCACACTTCACTCTGGCAGCGGCTGGCGGAGGCTCAGCCCACCCGGTCCCTCCGGAGGCCTGGCGGGAGGGGTCGGTTTATTGGGAATTTAGGGGTCGGTTGAGACTTTTTTGTATTGGGATATCGGTGGGGGATCGATGAGGAGGATTCAAAACGAGTCCGTGCGTTCTGCCCGCATCGGCATCTTTCGCTCCGACTTCCTGCGGCTGCAGCGGGCTCCGGGGACCACGTTCCTCCCACTGCCGCGCCTGCTTCATTCCGGCCGGAATTTGAAAACGGGGACACGACGCGATCGACTGGAGGACCCCCTCAGCCAGGACTGGTCGCCCGCAGAGGAGGAGGACGACAGGAGGAGGATGGCGGCGCCGCCAGCAGGAACCGGCATCCCTCCTCGGCGGCCGGGCGGCCGCGATCCTGGCGGTGGGGCCGCCGCTCGAGCGGGGGTCTCGGCTCCCGAGCTGGGTCCGTGCGGCTCCCGCCCCCGTCGCGCCCGGAGCTCAGCCACAGATGTCCAGCCACAATTCTCGGTTGGCCGCAGACTCGTACAAGAATTGCGTTTGGACAATCAGTGGCGAAGCCCCTGAGTTGAGGGCCCCGGTCGGCGGGGCTCCGCTCCGCTCCTTGGGGAGGAACAGACCGGAGGTCCCGCAGACGCTGGCGGTCTCGGCCGAGCCCGGTAAGGTGGCCACGCACGGCCCCACCCTGCGTGGGGAATCCCGGGCGCGTGTCTCCTGCGATCGCGGCCCGGGGCCCCGGAGTGGCCCGTGCTGGTCTCTGCGCCGCCCCAGGTTGGGGGAACCTCCGCCGTCAGGCCCGGGGAACCCCGGCTCCCCTCCCCGCCCCCAGCTGGGCTTCCCGGGAGCGCCAGGAATCCGGCGGCGGGCGCGGGGGCGAGGCCGGGTGGCTTCCCAGCCGGTCGGGCTGCTGGACTCCGGGCCCCCGCGCCCGCCGCCCCCGCGCACGCACCGCTCGGTGCTCTCCGCTCCCCGTGCCGAGTCCGGTGGCGGCGGGAGCGCCGGAATGCGCCGCCGGGTCACCTGTCTGCCCGGTGGCCGGGCCGGAGCCGGCGGGCTGGCGAGGCGCAGGGCTGGACCGAGCGGGCGCCTCTGGCGGCTCGGGGCCAGGGCGGGCTTTTAGTGGGCCGCTCCAACAATACGGCCTGGCGCGGAGAAAGGGGCTCGGCTGCAATTGGTACTGGATTTGAATAACGCCACGGGGCCATCAATGGTCATTGTGTCGGCGGGTAATGAATCTCCGCTGTCTCTGGGCTGGCCAGGCAGCTGCAACCTGCGCTCAGGCAGCTCTTAAAGCCATAGCGTGCCCCTCCCCGGGGCGCCCCCCCTGCGCTGGCCGGACCCCTCGCCCTCCCACCCCCACCCCGTGTCCTAGACTCTCAGTGCCCCGCCTGCTCCCTCCGCTGAACCCTTTGCCCACCGCCCCCCTCCCTCCTCCTGGGCTAGGCACCCGCATCTCTGCCCTGCACTCCCATGGACCTGACTCAGCCTCCTGGCCTTGACTGAGCTTTCCAGTGTGCCCAGGGGACCCTAGCACCTCAGTGCCCAACCAGCCCTGGCCTCCTCTCTGCATCTGCAACGGAGGCCTCTGGAGCCCCCTTCCTTAAGCTCCTGCCCCAGGGGCTTCTCGCTGGAGGGTGAGGGGAACAGTCTGGAGGTCAGAGGGTCACCCCTTAAAAGGCTCTGCGGAAGCCTAGGGAGGGGATGCAGCCCCCACCCCCGGCTGGAGATGCCACCTTCGTGACACACCCCCATGGGAATCAGCCTGCAGGGACCCAGGCTTGTTCCCAACACACCTCCTGCGGCTCCTGGGCACCTCCGCTCTCCCAGAGGGGGCGGGGGATGGAGCAGGGGGGAAGAGGGGCGTGGAATCCAGCATTGCTGTCCTGTCTTCCACTGGATAACCCGCCATCATTCCGTGCAGGAGGGCAGGGGCTGTGTAGCTCAGAGGCGCTCTCCGCCCCATCTCTGCCAGGAGACGGTCTCAGTCTATGGGGATCCACACCAGTTTGTCTCCGCAGAGCTCAGCCTGCTTTCCCAGGGATTTCACGCCCCGGAAGGGAGGGAGTGTGTGGCCATCCCTTCCATACCTCCTGCCCTCCATCCAGATCAGGGATCCCCAAGACCCCAATGCACCCCTGCCCTACAACCCTCTTTCCTCACAGTCTGTGTCCCGCTGAGTTGTCATAGCAGTGTGTCCATTCTCACTCAGTCAGGAAGTGGGACCTACTGATCTTTGTGCCCCAGAGCCTAGTAGGGTGCCCTCCCTTCAGTCAGTCATTGAATATCCATTGGTGACTCAAAAATGAACCACGCCGAAACCGGTTTGGCTCAATAGATAGAGCGTCGGCTTGGGGACTGAAGGGTCCCGGGTTCGATTCCGGTCAAGGGCATGTACCTTGGTTGCGGGCACATCCCCAGTGGGGGGTGTGCAAGAGGCAGCTGATCGATGACTCTCTCATCGATGTTTCTAACTCTCTATCTCTCTCCCTTCCTATCTGTACAAAATCAATAAATATATTTTTTTTTAAAATGAACCACGCAAACCTCTGGAAGTTTATTACAAAGGTGGAGGAAATGTGGCTTCTGGGGAGTGACACTGGGAGTGAGGGCTTTTAGAGAGAGCACCCTGTTAACGGGTCCTCCCCCGGGCTCTGTCCGGGTGCTCCCTGGGGCTCTGTCCGGGCCCTCACTTGGAGATCTCCCCATGGGCTGACAATGCCCTCCATGCTTCATGCAGTGTGCTTGAAAGGTGATGGCAGCCTGCTGAGTCCCACAGCTCTGGGAAGGGCGCACTGTCATCAGTCCCATTTCGCAGATGGAGAAACGGAGATTGGTGCAGTTAAGGTCCTAGTCCACGCAACTGGCAGTGGAGCCAGAGTTGGAACCTGGGGCTCTGGAGCCAGCGGCACACTACAGTTTGCCAGCCTTTACTCCACCGAGAGGGGACTGATGTAATTCACACTCAAAACTCCAGAACCCATCCCACCCCAAAAGAAAAGGGAAGCGGGAGCTCCCGACCCAGGAGAACACCCAGTGTCTCTTACAGACTGTCCTGCCCTGGCCTGCAGCAGCGCACCTTGTCGGGGTGGCCAGGCGGTCTCTCTCTGCATGAAGGGGAACCCGCAGGCCCGGTTGGTCAGCTGCACCCCAGGGGGGGCCCTCGGCCTCCGGGGATGCAGGGCTCTTTAAAGCCATCAGTCCTGGGCAGAAAAGGCTCGTTCACTCACTCTCCCCCTCGGAAACTGAGGAGACAAGAGGGGTACTATTGCTAGCCATTGAACAAATGTGTGTAGAATACCTACTGTGTGCTAGTGGTGGAGGACTCAGCAGAGATCCCCAAAGGAGCTGCTCAGGGGAGGCAGGACACCTTGAGCAGTGGGGAGGCAGGTGCTGGTGGGCGGGGTGCTGATACTGGCACTGTTCTAGGCTGAGGGAACAGCCGTAAAAGCTAATGAGCAAAA